CTATCTATCTATCTATCTATCTATCTATCTATCTATCTATCTATCTATATATCTCTGGAGCTAAGTTGCTGCATGCCCGGGATAGCTGAGAAAGAACCACTAACAACACTGTGTGGATAGGCCATGTGGGTGAAGGGGGCAGAAGTGAAGGGAGAGAGGGACAGGGGAAGGAGGCAAAGAAAAGAGAATGAGTGCATCTTCAGATTTTAGTGAATAAAGATGCCTATGAAGAGGCCCCAATGAGCTGACTTAATAGCCATCATACCATGATGGTTCAACAAGAAGAGTGACATCGAAGACTGCCAGCCTCCATTGATCATGTTCTTTCCATGGAAAGGAGCCTGGTCTATCAGTAGCTTCTGCTAATCTTGCTGAAACAATCCTGACACAAAAGACAAGTCCACTAAGCAAGCAAAATTATTACATCACAATTTTTAAAATATGTTCTTATTTTTTTAGTCTCTTTAAAGATACCCTTTTTCAAAAGAATAATCTGTCCTTACCTTAGATGAGGGAGACTTATTATAATATGAAAGATGAAAATTTTGACGAGTTCGAGAGAAAAACACAAAATGATTTTTGTTTAAGTCTAAATGTTATAACCCTAGGGTTACATTCCATATATTTTTAAGATAAAGATGTCATCACCCAAACTAAGTCTCAGTTTCCCCTCTCTACATAGAAAATAATGTCACTCAAGTCACAGATCACACAGGGCTCAGTAAAAAGCCAAGTTCTCGCCATTACTTCACTTTCTTTTCCTGCATTGCTCCCATGAACTTGTCTTGGACAACAAAGCTGGGCTGAATAAATGATACCTAGGACTTCCCTTCTCCAAAGTGGTTTCCTCTTCAGTATTATTCTCAAAATCATGATGTGATAGGGAGTTGAGACAGGTGTCACTAAACATACTCTACAAATGAGGAGACCAAGACCAGAGAAGAGAAATGACTCAGCCACAGGCAAAGGAATGATAAACCCCCAAGTCCCTTCAAACCTACCTCTGTGATTTTATCAATCTGGACATTAACATTCATTGTATATGCAGGACAGCACTGTGACCTCAATGATAACCTAACAAATGAACTATTGCATTGGTGCTTTCTAATTGGATGAGAAAAAATAGTAATTTAATAATTAAGAATGTATTATTCTTAAGATACTGGCGATTTAAAAGCTGCAAGTATTCACAGAGAACACGGTACACTCATAATATGTACAAAGCCATCATCTTCCCTATTCTTTTGCTTTTTATCTGTTTAAATCATCTTTTAAGTGCGGTACTTGGGGATGTATGAACCGAAGCTAAATATGGCAAGGTAAAATTGGACTTTCTATTGCCAATTCATGTCTCACTTAAGAGTGAAATTTTTATTTGATATTAGGCAGAAGTGTCTATAAATATGTTATCATAAACATTAGATTTTAACAAGCAATTTTTGAATAGCATGTAAATAAAATACTTTTCAAATAAAATATTTTTCAAACTATTTCTCTACATATATTTCTGCTCTCAGTAGAGCTTTACGACACAAACAGTTCCGAGTGAGCACATCAGGGAATCTCTGCTACCCAAAACTGTACCACACAGAAACCTGTATGAATAATGCAATTGGATGGTTGCCCTGCCGATGCATTGAAAAGCACACATTCACATTGCAGGTTAGGTGATTTTTCCCTATCAGTTCATTAATCATTTTAAGTTAGTTAAGTGGCAAGAATCCCTTTCGCATCACATTTGAGTTAGGGTACTATAGGAGATCCCACTTTTAAGAGAAAAGAGTCCTCGTTCTAAAACATGTCTGTCCTTGATAACCCACTACGCAGATTCCAGCACTAAAGGCCAGAGCGCTCCTCTGGCTTAGCTTCGGAGGAGCGCAGTAACCAGGCACCTGCTTCTCACACCCTTTCCTCAATATCTTGCACTTTTGTTCTGGTCTGGTCCAGGCCTCTAGCCTCTTTCCTTGCTCCAAAGCCACCAAGAATGCTCAGCGACTCAAGCATCAAACAGAAGTGTTTTTCCCTTTCTGTTAGGGGATGGGGGTGGAAGCGAGGGTGAGGGTCCTCACCACGACCCTATGCCCCTGGTGGGGGGGGGGGGGGGAGTCAGTGCCACCAGGGCGGAGCGGAAAAACAGCGCGAGGCTGGTGACTTCCACGCCATCACCAGAGCCGGGTGCCTTCCCGCCTCCGCCCAGGCCATGTTCGGGGGTCCCCAGAGCGCAAAGCTGGGATAAGAGTGGAAAAGGGAAGTGAAACAACGTGCGGATGCGAGGCGTGAGTGTGGATACACACAGGGCAGCTGCAGGTAGAACAACCCCGCCTCTCCCCAACTCGCTCCCCGGACCTGCCTGCAGCCCGGCCACTCTGGGGATACCGGCGCCAGGACAAAGCTGCCGCGGCCTCTCTGCGAGCGCAGGGAGAGCTCGCCCTGGCTCACCGATCGCCCCCTGGCCGGGACCCTGTCCCAAAGGACCTCGGGGACGTCCGAGCGAGCGAGGGGACCTTGGGCTGGGCGCCCATAGCTCCTGTCCCCGGCGTCCCCGCTCGGCGCCTGTGCTCACCTGTTCAGCACTTTGCGGATCCTCTGGCGCATGCCAGCCCGGGAGGAGGCGGACAGGCTCCCGCCGCCGCTGCCTTCAGCTGGCAGGTTCTCGATGGTGGTCACCACATGGTTCGGCGGGGCCGGCGGTGGTGGCGGCTGCAGCTGGGGCTGCGGAGGCTCCGGGGGGATCATCGAGACGGAGGCGGTGGCGGACGGCTCTCAGAACGCGACCGGGCACATAGTGCGCGGGCTCCGGGCCCGGGAACACGCAGAGAACCCGGCCAAGCAACCCCAGCCCGGGGAGGCGGTGCCGCCTGCGAAGCGACGAAGCGGGGAGGCACCCGCGGCTCCGGCCGCCGCCTCCCAGCGCAGTGCCCTCGGCTTGCTCCCCAGTCCTAGTTGCACACCCTCGCTCCGGGCCGCCGCTTCCTCCCGCCCGGGCTCTTCCCGAGCCGCGACCCAAGTCCTGGCACACCCCGCCAAGTGGCTGCGAAGGGGATCGGAAGGAACCCGGAGCCGCCGGGTCCACTGCAAGGACCGTGCAGAGAGAGGCACGGAGCTGCCAGGCTTCGCCTTCTGTCCCAGTGCCCAGGGCTTGTCCTGGAGATGGCAGTTGCGGTGGCGCTGCTTCAGTTGGTGCCGGCTTCGCTCAGAAAGCTGCCGTCTGTGTCTCACGGAGTGAGAGACCGAGAGTGAACCTGGAGCGCCGGGCGGGGGCGCCGCGCTGGCGGAGGGGGTCGGGGCGGATGGGGGGGCACTCGCGCTCTGCTGTCGCCAGAGGGCGCTCCGGTGGTGCCTTGGTGTCCCCAACCATCCTCCAGGCGTCTAAAGATGCCCTAGGTCTAGGGTGCTGTGACTGGAGGTGGGTGGTCTTGTCTTTGTCTTTAGGGCAGCACAGGATGGATTCTCCCTCTGCTATTGGAGAGGACTCATCTTGCTTCTGCGGAGGTTTTGAGGAATCCAGCACCACCGGCCCCGGCCAGCGGCACGACGAGACCGCTGTTGGTCCAGGTTAAAGATCCAAATTGAATAACCTAAATACTACAACTACTCTCATCAAAATGGACCTGCAGGAAATGGGAAGAGAAACAGTTTGTCACCAAAAAGGCATTCTGGGGATTGGGGAAAACAAACCAAGCCACCTCAAAACCTCTCCGTTTCGGCGATGGATCCCGGAAAGGAAAGCCAGCGGACTCTAATGGCACTTCTGGAAATAACAGAGATCCTAGGCAGTTTCTTAAATTCTGGGACAAGGCGACTCATGAGTTTTCCTGGGCGTTATAAGAATTAAATGAAGTAAGCTACCCAGCAGGAGGGACTAGCGGCTCCTTCAAGGTTCACTGGCTGTCAAAGGGATAACTATGTGTTGCCTACTGAAACCCCAGTCCTAAACAGGACCACTTTCTACCGAATGGCCTTTGTCCCAGGTATTCCTTATACCTATTGATCCGCACTTCAATCAGTAAATGGCTTTGGAAATTTTTTCAAATGTCCCTTAATCCAGATTGCCTGGGCAAGTATCTTGTAATGAAAATGATACGCATTTAAGATTTTTCTCCACTTTGCTGCAGAACGAGAACCAATCACACTGAGTTCGTTTCATGGGTTTATTTGCCCACACAAAAGCACGTTGGTACTGTCACTGGATCCAAATGCTCTGGAGATCAGCAAATAGAAACTACTGTTTAGGATGTTGAGAGTCAAATATAACATTCAAAAGTAGTAGACTATATCATTTCAAAAGAGGAAAGTGGGGACAAAAAGAAGCCAGTCCCTCTTATAATATTGGGGGTACTCTTCATTTTAATAATGGGGTGAGGCAGAGCTCTGTGAGTTTGGGGCCAGGCTGGTCTACAAAGTTCCAAAACATCCAGAACCACACAGAAAAACCCTGTCTCAGACAAAAATGGATAAATAGACACGTTAAAAAAAATCTCTCTAGTCTATATTTAAGCATCTGTCAAACCCAGTTTCTACATGAACCATCCCTAGGGTCCCTTTCTACAAAATTCCACCCAAATTGGAACATTTGCCATTTTATAATTAGAACATCACCCCACGCTTCCTTAGAGACATTTCATTTTAGAATATTCACCCCAGATTCTCAGGACAGGTACAAGAATTACTACAACCAAGAACAAGGCTTGTAACCTTGTGAACATTAAAATTCCAATAGATTACAATGAATTTGCCCTTTGGGAACTATCAAATGTAACAGACATGAGGAAAATGCACCTCAGCTGGACCTGGCAGCAAATCTCAGTGGGAACATCTCTATTAAAAAGCACTTATGGTCATTTCAGGTGTCTTCCTTGAATGACTGGTTGCTTCAGTGCCCTCTTGCCTCTCACACTTGGCTTGATTCCTTTTGAATGTGTTTGGCATATCGCAGCTCAGTCCTGTGGCTGCACATCCATGTCTGCGTATATATCATTTCTCTAGACCAATTATTAAATCCTTATGTTCTAAATCTTCACTGAGCAGGGAGGGAGAAAGCAACAATGGGCTAAGAGGTGATGCTGGCTGGGTTTGTCAGACAACACAAGGGATATCTGAGAGGAGGCAACTTCAACTAAGAAATTGCCCCCATAAAATTGGGCAAGCAAACCCATAGGGCATTTTCAGTGATTGATTGGGATAAGGCCCAGCCCAATGTGGTTGTGCCACCCCTCAGCTGGTGGTGCTGGGTTCTAAAAGAAAGAAAACAAGCCATGAGGATCAAGCAAGTAAGCAGCTCCCCTCTACGTCCTCTGAATCAGCCTCTGCCTCTAGGCTCCTGTCCTGTTTGAGTTCCTGCCCTGACTCCCTTCAGTAATAGACTACAATGTGGAAGTACAAGCCAAATAAACCCTTTCCTCCCCAACTTGCTTTTGGTCTTGTTGTTTCATCATAGCAATAGTAATTGTAACTAGTTCAAGGTGTGAAATTCCAATCCTGCCGGTGAGAAAAGACCTTGTATTATCTTATATCATAGATGGGTGGAACCTCTCCGATTCTGTGTTCCACACTCAGCTCTTAAATAACTAAATAGCATATAAGAGATGGGGAAACAGATGTCAAAGGTGCAAATATTACAGCAGTAAGTCTGACATGGAATTAAACAGAACAAATATGGAAAACTCATCTTCCCTCCTCCCTGCTGAGAGAGTGCTACTTGTCTCTGTCTCAAAATCTATCCTCCGGGACATCTTAATGAATAGGTGGAGGGGTGGAGATAAACTATGACTCTCAGTGGTGGCATATGGGTCCACAGCCACAATGATCACCTCACAGCTCCCTGCATAGTTAGTGGCCTGATCATATTGCAAAATGTTCCTTCAGGTAGGTTTCCCCCTGAAGACATGCATTAAATCTGTTGAATTCCTTAAGGAATCAGAAGTAGACTATCAACTCTGCATCTTTGTGTAATGTTGCTCATTTTGAAATCATTTAACTCATGGAAGGATGTGCATAGTTTGGCATAAGATCCAGAACTCAGAGCCACTGGGCATCTTGACCACTTTGTTTAACATGAAGTAAACTTGCCAAAATAACATCAGAGTCAGGATCCACAAGCACCTGATCATCCTCAAATTATTGAGAAATGTCCTAGCTTACGTTTGTTGCAGTGAAGTGGCCATATATCTTCCTCTGTCATTTTTGCTTTCTTTTTAATTTATTCTAGTTGTGTTTCACATCCTGAATTTTGATCCCATTCATTCCCAGTCTCTTCACACCTGCCCTCTGCCCCTTCATGCCCCTCCCATGAATAAAACAAAATTCAGGAGAAAAAAGGAAAGAAAATAAAATGAAAAATATTAAAAGGGAAAGAAATTTTAAAAAGCTCATGGAAGCTGCAGTGCAACCCAAGTCACACCATATACCCCTTGGTCCATACATCTGTACTTGCAAGTATTCATTGCAAGAAATCATTAATCTGGTTCCAAACTGCTGGTCTCCATGATACATCAGATGCTGGACCCTCTCTGGGACTCCTCCTGGACATCCTGCTGCCAGGATGTATTGTAGAGATCTGCAACTTTTGGCCTATGAGTCAAATCATTTCAAATGCTCCAGCAGATCATAGATGGGGCAGGCCAACTCATAGCCCTGGGTCTGGGCCTGGGGAGCTGTAGGGTTGGTCTGCCAGATGGGAAGTGGGGACAGCTCTCCCGTGGTCACAAATTTCGGGGCTAGTTCACCTACACCTGTGCTAACAGTGTTGGTTCTATTGTGGTGCCCTGGCAAGTGCAGGGCCTGTTTCCCCAGGTTTTGCAGCTGGTGGGAGTAAAGAATGGCTCTCCCACTCTTATGACCACAGGGCCAGCTCTCTCACATGCCTCAGGCATTGATGGAGGGTTGTCTCTCCCTAGCCCACATCACTATGTGGCAGATGAAGGGTGAGGCTAGATCTCTCACACTCCCATCCTCAGAGTTGGCTCACCTATGCTCTCATCAACAGGAATCTCTGCTATGCTTCCCAGACAAAGTACAGAGCTTGCTTTCCCATGTGTTGCCACTGCTTAAGGGGGCTTCCTCACCATTTCAGTCCAATCCCTTCCTCTCTCCCTCATCTCTTCAAATATGCCTCTGTCCACAGGACCTGAAACATTCTGTGTCTATCTGTCTGCCTCTCTCTCTCTCTCTCTCTCTCTCTCTCTCTCTCTCTCTCTCTCTGTGTGTGTGTGTGTGTGTGTGTGTGTGTGTGTGTGTGTGTTCCGTAAAACACCATACCTTACCTCTGCTTACTCCAATAGTGGCCTGCTGACTGGTGCTGCAAGGTGTCAGGTGGCCCTTGTTTTCTCTTTTGAGCCCTGGGTGGGCAGCCCCAAGCCTGCGTGTGGGTCACCCTGTCTCACTCAGGTTACCCTGATGCAGGGCTAAGCCATGCTTCCTCATCACAAGGAGATAATTGTAGTGCCCCATCACCTGGCATAATAGGTGGGCTCCTGGTTGGTGCATTTGGCTGTATTCCGTCAACCCGGCTACATGGCATGGGGTTGGCCCTAGACTGGAGACCCGCTGTAGATCAGGTTTAAAATCTCCTGCTCCTGCCTGGCTGTGTTGTGTTCATCACTGATACAGACCTGAATTGGGCCTGTGACTCCTACTTGAATATGGCCCACACATAACCAATAGTCTGGGGTGGGTGTCATTAATAAACTTTGTCTCCTAAATCTGATTGAATATAACATACACACAAGTACACACACGCACACACACATATACACACACAAAGAGAGAGAGTCATAGTAAATGTTTTATTGTTGTGAAGAGACACCATGACCAAGAAAACTATAAAGTAAATCATTTAATTGGGTTGGTTTACAGTTTCAAAGGTTTATTTCATGACCTTCATGGCAAGGAAGATGGCAAATATGGTGCTGGACAAGCAGCTGAGATTTCTACATCCAGATCCTAAGGCAGCTGGAAGAGAGACACTGGGCATGGCTTGAACTTTTCAAACCTTAAAACCTCCTCCCCTAGTGACACAATTTCTCCAACACAGCCACAAGTGCTACAATGAGACCACACCTCCTAATCCTTCCTAGTAGGACTACTCTCTGATGACTAAGCATTCAATATATATGAGCCTATGGAAATCATTCTTATTTAAACCACATTTCATTCCCTAGACCCCATAGGCTTCTAGCCATATCATAATGCAAAAATTCATTCAGTCCAAGTTCCCATAGTCTATCACAATCTCAACACTGTTTAAAA